AAATCCACAAGTGTGAATATATGAGACATGTCTGCATATCAATCACAGCTTAGGTCTCCTGCCTTTTCTATCGTAGCACGAAATCGAACTATGTGGGTAGTCATAAAATACACCCCAAAGATTGTTGGATAGCGCTTATCTCATGGAAAGAGGTCATGCTGTTCTAATGCAATAATGCTTGGTTCAAGGATAAAAGAAGACTGTATCAATTCGTTTTCAAAGGATACAGTGTTTTCCCGGGAAAAGAACACGGTTGCTATACATTTCCGCTAGAATACATCCAACCGACCAGAGGTCAATGGCTTTCGTGTAGATCTTTGAGGTAAGCATAATCTCAGGGGCTCGGTACCATCGTGTAGCAACGTACTCCGTCAGAAGCCCAGCCTGATCGCATTCTGGGTCGGCAATCCTTGCAAGGCCAAAGTCGCAGATCTGTTATGAGATTATGAACATAAATTAAGCCCTCGAAAATGGAAAGGTCTTTACGAAATTTTTTACGATGCACATCTAATACCTGCAATAGTATATTAGTTTCGGGTGTGTAGGGATCAGATTAAACATATAATTTAGGCGGAACCAGTAGTTAGCTCATCACGCTTTGAAAATTTTCGAACTTCGCATATTTTTTCAGAGATTCTAAGAGCATAACTGATCTACTTCGATAGACTTAACCATAAACTAACCGAGCTTAAAACATCCGTCCTTGTTGTTCAAGTATTTCTGATATGATTCACATAAACTCTTCCCTTACGTTCTTGTCATTTATGGATTAATTATTCTCAAAACTAACGCTCTTTTATTTTGTTAAATATCTTTTGTGTGCTGTCTCGAGATTCGCAGTGATCTAAACGGCCGTTTTGTGCAAAGCATGCGCATAAAATTTTAATTATATGGCATTGTGTATTTTGTGCAGCAAAGGATGGCTAAATACTCCCACATAAAACTGTTTTCATCATAAAGGAAACCTAAAGTATCAGAATGTTAAGCGATTAATTAAATGAGTAAAAAAGGAATCCATGCAAGTCAACCATTTTGTATAATATTATAAATGCTCTTTATTAAATCTAAATTAGAGATTGCTTATTTTTTAAATAACTTAGACACTATCGATGCCATAAAGTTCAGTAGTTTAAGATAAAAAAAGTGTTCTCTTCTGTTTGAAAGATCGATATCACTTCTCATCGCTGATAAAGCTTTTACATGTAGAAATATTATGAATAGTCATATAAATACTTCGCACCTTTCTCTGAATAAGCTGCTGATTTAAACGGAGCGGTTCTTAGTATCATTAATTTTCTTGCTTGAAGACAAAAATCTCAAGATTTTTTGTTGGTAGACAATAGCTTTGTAAAATGACATTAACTGTCGTATGCATAGTTGTTGGTATAATAATCTGTTAATGGGCCGAGTATTTGATTTTTAAAACCTTCCCTAAGGCTTATTAACTGTATCGCATACGTTAAAACGAACATAATTTAACTTAGATTTATTATGTATACTTCATATTCTCCATATTCTCCTATCTCGGTTCCATACACTATGCAACATTATTAATTTAATTCTGCGTCCGAGCAACGATTGTAATCAAGGCAAATGCAAAGAACTTACACGGAGATCGCACATTCGGTTGAGAAGGATATTACTTGGCTTCAAATCACGGTGAAGAACGTTAGCTGAATGAATGTACTTAAGACCTTTATCGCAAAAGTAAACATTCTGTTTTTCAAACCTCGGAGAATTTGATAAAGAAAATAACAGATGTGGTCCGCACTGAGTTTTTGTACCTTTAATAATTTATACAAATCCGTTTCCATAAATTTTTCGACAATGTATCTACAAATAAGCTATAAAAAAACGCTTACACTTCCTTCATGTCCTCAAATTTTTCTGATGTAAACGCATCATATAACGGGATTATCTAGAATGAAATGATTTGGTTTCAAAACACAAAACCAACTGTACGTTTTCATGATCAAGTTGGCGGAGGATACGAATCTCTCGGTAGGTTCGCTGACAATATGTTTGATGTTCAAACGGCATGATTTTTTTTATAGCTACCATCTCATTTCTTTGGTGATCAAATGCTGACCTGTAACAATGACGGCACGAAAGTAAAAACTCACACGACCATTCCATAAGATCCTTCACCGATGTAATTTAAATCAGAAAATCTCGATCCAACTGAAAAAACTTGTCCCTTTAATGTGTAAGACTCTGGTCTGCTGTCAGCCATATTCTAACGGAAGACTTTTTAATGTCAGCGCCCTTTGCACGAAGGTCGAAATGTTGCCTTCAAAAGTTTTAACTTATTCATGGTCAAATCTGCAAATTCAAATTTTACTCAAATGCAAAAGTGTCGAATATATTTGAGACTATAGATGTGAGTCTCTTGCGATTTATACGTATGCAACATATAATCTGAGATTATCAATTTCACTTAGTTCAGAAATTTCAAAATCTTGCAAGCCGCAAAAATC